AGTAGCTGGGATTACAGGCACACGCCACCACGCCTGGCTAATTTTGTATTTTCAGTAGAGATGAGGTTTCTTCATGTTGGTCAGTCTGGTCTTGAACTTCTGACCTCAGGTGATCCGTCTCCCTCGGCCTCGCAAAGTGCTGGAATTACAGGTGTGAGCCAGGGTGCCTGGCCAACCCCAGCTGGTCTTGAACTCCTCAGCTCAAATGATCTTGCCTCTGCCCCAAAAAGTGCACGCCAGGCCCACATATCCTTTTTGAAATCAGAGTTGGCCAGGCACGGTGGTTCACACCTGTCATCCCAGCACTTTGGGAGGCCGAGGCGGGCAGATCACAAGGTCAGGAGTTCGAGACCAGCCTGACCAACGTGGTGAAACCCCATCTCTACTAAAAATACAAAGATTAGGCGTGGTGGCGGGCGCCTGTAATCCCAGCTACTTGGGAGGCTGCGGCAGGAGAATCGCTGGAACCTGAGAAGCGGAGGTTGCAGTGAGCAGCTGAGATCATGCCACTGCACTCCAGCCTGGGGAACAGGGTGAGACTGTTTCATAAATAACCAAATAAATAAATAAGTCAGAGTCATACTCTCTGCCTCTTCTGCCAGCATCTATCCCCTCAGCCTTGATTTCAGAGAAGACCCAGGGATGGGTTCTCCATCCTTGACCATCCCACATGCTCTCCTGTCCCTTTCAGACAGTTCAAGTCTCACCACCTCCAGGAAGCCCTCCCTGATGTGCCCCTTTCTCTCCCTGCTGTCTGTTGGCCCCTCCCCAGTCACAGACTCCCCAGCTCCCAGCAAAGCACCTCCCACCCTGGTTCCTGGGAGCGCAGCCGGATGGACCAGCAGGGTGCATTTGCTCATCTTAGTGCTCATCCACCGTGGCCTGGCCAGTGTGGGGGCGGTTGTTCTAGAAGCCTCACAGCGCTGGCAGGCGGCCATGAGTTAGAGGTAGACAGGAGGAGGAAGTGAGAACTGCTGCAGTCAGGGCGGACGGACGGGGCTCCCTGGTCGTGGCGGTTCTGGAAATCCCACCCCGACCTGTTCATTTCGGGCACCCTCTTGCCTCAGCTCCCAGAGGAAGTTCTCAACTAGGGGGCGTGATTCTGCCTCCAAGGGACTTTGGGTGATGTTTGGGATAGTTCCGGTTGTCATGGCTGAGGGTGCTACTGGCGTGGAGTGGGTGGAGGCCAGGGACGCTGCTCAGCACCCTGCGGTGACCAGGGCTGCCCATCCCAGAGAACTTTCCAAGCCCAATGTCGACAGGGCTGAGGGAGGAGACCCGTCTGTTTTCTGCTCACACCAGACACCAGCATCAACTCCCAATGGGGCAATCGGTTTAAACCAGGAGGACCCCAGCGCCTGGGATTCTTCTCCTGTCTCCCTCCCCATTCAGGGCGTGGATCTCTTTTCTTTCTTTTTTTGAAACGGAGTCTTGTCCCATAGTCCAGGCTGAAGTGCAGTGGTGAGATCTTGGTTCACTGCAACCTCTGCCTCCCGGGTTCAAGAGATTCTCCTGCCTCAGCATCCTGAGTAGCTGGGATTACAGGCACACGCCACCACGCCCAGCTAATTTTTCTATTTTTAGTAGAGACGGGGTTTTGCCATGTTGGCCAGGCTGGTCTTGAGCTCCTGACCTCGAGATCCCCTCCCCACCCCCACCTTGGCCTGCCAAAGTGCTAAGATTACACTTGTGAGCCACTGCGCCTGGCCAGGGTGCACTGCAGCTTCCTGGGACTTCAACAGGGCAGAGGATCATGGGACGCAGAGTCCCTTGGCAGTCCGTGTAATCCCCTAACCCTGGGGGGTCTCACCCAGGATGATTCTGCCCCCCACCAAGGGACATTGGGTGATGTCTGGGGATACTTCTGGCTGTCATGACTGGGGGTGCTCCCGACATGGTGGGTGGAGGCCAAGGACGCTGCTCAGCACCCTGCAGTGCCCAGGACGGCCCCAAATGTTAACAGCAGGAGTTAATTTCTGCCTCAACACCTGAATATCGAATGCTCATAGCAGAGATGCAACAGCAGTCTTCCAGTGCAGTATGAAATCTGAAAAGAGGGTCAGGGGTTGTGGCCCAAGGTGGTAATCCCAGCACTTTGGGAGGCCGAGGCAGGTGGATCATCCGAGGTCAGGAGTTCGAGACCAGCTTGGCCAACATGGTGAAACTCCATCTCTACTAAAAATACAAAAATTAGCCGGGCATGGTCTGGGGTGCCTGTAATCCCAGCTCCTTGGGTGGCTAAGGCAAGAGAATTGCTTGAATCTAGGAGGCGGAGGTTACAGTGAGCTGGGATCACGTCACTGTACTCCAGCCTGGGTGACAGCAAGGCCCAGTCGCAGACAAAACAAAAGTAAAACCATGAAAGAAAACAGGATCTGCTAGGAGTAGTATTTTTGCTTGGTAAGATCGAAATGCACTTTATACATGAAATATATTTTATTAAGCTGGGCATGGCGGCTCACGCCTGTAATCCTAGCACTTTGGAGGGCCGAGGTGGGTGGACCACCTGAGGTCAGGAGTTCAAGACCAGCCTGGCCATCACGGTGAAATCCCCATCTTAAAAAAAAGAAAAAGATATTTTATTAAACCTCACTGCAAAGTGGCACATTTTTGCTAAATTAGTAGTTTAGTCTACACAGAAGCTGTGTGTACCCAAATGTAACTCCCAGGAGTTCTGTCTTTGCTTATTACGTGCAAACTGCAGTTCATACCTGAGATATTTTTTTTTCCCATACCTGAGATTTTTTTTTTCCTGGATTTAACCAGGAGGGGAAATATTTTCGTTGGATAAGTCCACATTTTAGCTCACAGGAGAAACAGTTTACCGAACTTAACCGAAAAATAAATCGTTTTTTCCTTGGGAGATCCACATTTTAGTTCCTACATGAGATGTGTTTCTGAGTTTTAACTGCCAGAAGTAATGTTTCTCCTTAGGGTGAGTTTTAATTTCCACAGGAAAAATCTGAATTTATCCTCAAAGAGTACAATTTTTGCTTGAGTCCAAATCGCACACGAAATATTTTACTAACTTGGAATAATATCTTTAACATTGGAAGTTCTTTTTTAAAACATCGGAAGCTTTTTAAGAACAGCAAGACCAAATTAAATAATAATAATAATAATAATCACCGATGATTACCAGGTGTTACTTGAAATAATTTTGTCTTTTGGGGGATGGGCGCGGTGAGACCCCCCCCCCATACCCGGGGGCCTTTGTCGCCCCAAGCCGCCAGGGGAGGGGTCCCGCTGCGTGAAGGGGCCCTAGGGAGGGTGACGTGGATCACGAAGGACAAACTGGCATTCGGAAACCACCAAAAATCGGCCCCAAAGGGCCGTCCCCGCCCCAAGGCCCAGTTGTGGGGGCGGGGACGGCTTAGGGCGCGCGCAGCGCGTACCCCGCGCTACGGCAAGCCCCGCCCCCGGGCGCCCGCAGAGTGACGCGAGAAGGAGGGGGCGTGCCCCAAGGCTCAACAACCAATCTTCGGAGCCGCCTTGCCCTGGGCCCGTCACCTTTCACCAATCAGACCCTGAGAGGGGCGGACGCGACTTTTTTTTTCCCGGCAGCCCCGCGCTCCGCCCCTTGTGCGGCCGCGTTCTCGGCGGCGCGGGGGGCGTGGCCCGGGCGCGGCGTCTATAAAGGCGGGCGGCGACGACGACGCCATTTTGCGAACGGCGAGCAGCGGCGGCGGCGCGGAGAGGCGCAGCGGAGGTTTTCCTGGTTTCGGACCCCAGCGGCCGGATGGTGAAATCCTCCCTGCAGCGGATCCTCAACAGCCACTGCTTCGCCAGAGAGAAGGAAGGGGATAAACCCAGCGCCACCGTCCACGACAGCCTCACCATGCCGCTCCTCAGCTTGCACAGCCGCGGCGGCCGCAGCAGTGAGAGGTGAGCGCCCCGCCCCCGTCCGAAGCTTCCAGAAGCGCCGGCCGCGCAGGCCCGCGGGGGGCTGGCCTCGGGTGAACAGATAGGTCCCGGGCGCGCGAGATCCGCCCCTTTGTCAAGGCCAGGATCGCGCCGGGGGCGGGGCGGGTCTGGAGGTCCCCCCCGGTCCTGGCAGCGCTCTCGGGGGTCGGGTTTGCACGCACAGGTCCGGAGCCTTATTCGAAAAGGGTGTGGGGTCATTGCTCGGGTTTGCGGGGGCGCCTGATTCGAGGGTGAGGTCGGAGGTCCGATTTGGGCGCAGGATGGGGAATCTGGGGGAGGCGAGTGCGTTTTGCGGGGTTCGCGGGATAGGACTTCATTGTGGAGGAGGGGAGAGGCTTCCGGTTGCGGGTCGGATTTGGGGGGCGCAGGGGGCAATCTGGTTGGGGGCGGGGTCGCCCTTGTCGGGGGCTGGTCCGAGGCTACGCAGGGCTCGCGGGGCGGGTGAATTTGCACTTTTCAGTCCCAGCCGTGGAGCTTGCGGTGCGGGAGCCGTGAGTGCTTCGCGGCGGGCAAACTACTCCCGCTGGCTCCCCGCGCCCCGATGTGATCTCCGCACGCGGCCGACCTCGTGGGCCACGTTTTTCGCCCCAGAGCGAGCGGGTGTGGATGGCCCGGGAAGCGGGGTGCGAGGCCGCGCAGGTAGGCGGCACCCAGGGCTTCTCCGCGTGGGCCCCCGGGGAGCTGGGGGTCGACCCCCGCCGCCTCCCTGGACCACGCGTCATGTTTCCCGGAGCGCGGAGGCCAGCTGCGGTGGTTGGGGGGCCCATGGGGTCTCGGCCGAGCCTCCCCGACGGCGTCCACCTAGGTGGGCGTCACTCAGCCCCGGGGATCGGGAAGTTTGGCTGAGGTGCTGACGGTGACGCCGTTTGGGGGCCCTGCAAAATGGAGGCGACTTTGGGGCCTGTTTACACTGCGCAGCAAATGGCTGCTGGCGCTGTCGGCTGCGCGATTGTGAAAATCTCCCCCGGGGCGCGGGGCCGCGTCTGCCGAGATGACGCAACCGCGAGGGCCCGGGCCCGGAGCGGGGGGGCCAGGGCAGGAGGGGGCGCGTCCTCCGCGAGGTCAGGCCAGGCCCCCACTCTTCCCCTCCCTGGGACAAGCCAGGGTTCCCGATTCTGGCCGCAGTGCAGGGTGGAAAGGGGAACCCGTGGCTGGGCTGGAAAGGGGAAGCGCTGGGCGGGGCGGGGCGAGGGGAAGGGACCCGCGCCCAGTGAGGGTTGGGCAGGCCTGGGCGATGCTGTCCGAGGAGTCGAGGCTCAGTAATCGCTGCCCCTGGTTCTCGGGGCAGGCGTTAGAGATGCCCTCGAGAAGCCTGGGGTGTGGGGCGGGGCGGGGTCCTCCGGCCAGAACTGATTAGGACTGAAGGCCGCCCGCGCGCCCTGAAGGGTGTCTGCGCGGAGCCCGGCGCCGCCTACTGACCCGCGTCTCTTGCAGTTCCAGGGTGTCTCTCCTCTGCTGTAGTAACCCGGGTCCGGGGCCTCGGTGGTGCTCCTGATGCCCCTCACCCACCCCTGAAGATCCCAGGTGGGCGAGGGAATAGTCAGAGGGATCACAATCTTTCAGCTAACTTATTCTACTCTGTGAGTATGGGGCCGGGCCTGCCACGGTGGAGTGGGGTGCGCTGGGGTTGCTCTGGGGCCGCAGGCGCTTCGTGTGCACCTTTCTGCCCTGTACCTGCGATTTAGTTTAATTCTGGGAACCCAGAGTTTCGTCGGAGCTAGTGTACAGACTTCCGAAGCTTGAGCCTTGCCTGAGCTGAATAATGGCCTAGGTCTCAGCCTTAGTGCTGCCGGGTGGGTGGCCGGGGTCTCGGAGCCCCGTAGGGTGCGTGGGGCTTCTGAACTGAGGGGTTGTGAATTGGGCTGCACCGTCTCCTGGGCAGGATGATCGGCTGAATGTAACAGAGGAACTAACATCCAACGACAAGACGAGGATTCTCCACGTCCAGTCCAGGCTCACAGACGCCAAACACATTCACTGGCGAGCAGTGCTGAGTGGCGGCAGCCTCTACATC